GCAGCAATAGAAAACCGGATCTTCACATGTTAAAAGTGCAACGGGATTCTAGTAATATTTGGTTTCCAGTTTCTGGAACTCTTTCACAATGAAGCAACAGAGAAGGTTACACTCAGTTTCAGTAAATGGAAGGTTTGGAAACTGTGGTTTATGACATTTGGGGTCTGAGACAATTAGACTGGGCACGTATGAGGCAGCAATCTGCAATCAGAGCATGCATCTCTTCTGTGTGACAATAACCATTTTTAAAGTAACTAAATTCCTTCTCTGGGGGATGCTGTGTATTATTATTCTATACCATTTCAGGATGTTTCCAGAACACACAATAACTCATAATTTTTAAATCCAAACCTTTTGTCTTCTCTTCTGGGATCTGAAATGTTGGATGTATGACATTATTCAGAAGTCACAATTTTGTACTACTGTGTTTTTTACAGAGGAGATTTGGTCCTCAAGGAGCATCGCAATAGGACAATCTATGAGAGAACAAATGCTCATCATAGATTATATAAGTAGTCTTAATGTCTTCCCATTGGGTTCTGCAGGTTCTGTGGAGCTGCTTTGGTTGATGCAATGCTGGGGAATTTATGAGTTCAGAAAACTCTTCAGTAAAACGTTAGTAGATAAAAAAAAAGAAGCACTTCTTTCCACCTCTGTCTGCCCCCCACCCCACCTCCGCTTTCTCCTGTCATTCTAACCTCATTTTCCTCCCTGGGTAAGCTGAGCCTCAGTTGCTGAGAGATTTCAACCTATTTACTATTTATTTCATTTTTATACTGCCCAACAGCCAAGTGAGTCTGACTTGGAATGCTTCACACTGGGGAAAAAATGGCCCTTCTCAACCATGTCCCACTTTTCTGCAGCAAGGGAAGGAAGAAGTAAAGAGCCTCCCCCTGGGTGCAATAGCCTCCGTCCAGATTTGGGACCAGGGCATTTACTCTGGAGTAAATTGAAATAAAAGTATAGAGGGAGCTCCATGCCTCCCAATTATCCGTACCCATACTTAATTTTTTTATTATATTTATACCTCAATTTCCTGCAAGAAATGCAAGGCAGCTTACATAATCCTCTTCCCATTTTATCTTCACAACAACCCTGTTAGGCTGAGAGTCAATGAGTGGCCCAAAGTCTCTGAATGAGCTTCATGGCCAAGGGAGTGGGGTGGGGGGTACAATGGAGGTCTCTGATGTCCCAGTCCAACGCTCTCACCACTATGCCCTCAGTTTGACTCTCAGCTCTTCTCAATGGTGGTGATGGTTCCTTGCTAGCTGGAGGAAACCCTGAGCATGCTGCCCCTCACTGACTTGGAAACAGTCTTGCGGTAGCTGTCATGGATCAGCATTAATGGGCTTGTTTGTGCTGGACAGAACTTTGTGGAAATGCTCAGTGCTAGGTGGTTTGTAGCCTTAAGCAGCTGCATGTAAAAGGTCTCTTAAAGGATTTGATGGCCGAGATTTTAAGTGTGCTCACAACAATGTAAATCCCATTGTGATTTACCTTTGGAAAGTTGACTTGCTCCTGAGAAAGTTGGCAATAAGGCACTTAAGAGTTTGAAGAAACCCTTTTATAACAGTGAGGTCAGGAAAATTAGGTATGTTTGCGCATGTATTCTGGCTGAAAAAAGAATTAATGGACTTCATATCTCTGTGTATTTGCATTAGAACAAATAAATTCTGGAACAAAAAACTAAGCTAATAGGGCTACTCTGACTTGCATAAGCTGACATTCATGGCCCTAGATTGGAAACCTATTAAAAAGGTCCCTTGCACAGGTCTTGAACCAAACGGGGTATGGTTCCACTGTATCTTATTGTAACACTGTATATTATGTTCTTGAGAAATGAGAAATGGCCCTCATTAAGCAGAAACAATACATGTATTTGCAAATATGACTTTGAAAGGAACTGTTTGAAAGAATCAACAGTGTCCAGTTATGACCAGATCATTTTTTAAAATCTAAAACTGACTTCCAGGCATTGTTTCTTTCATTAATCTTGGCTGTTCTTCTTGGAGTAAAGGTGAATTATGCAATTGCCCCTCCCAACCACATCCCTGACTCCTAATGCTTGTTCCTACTCAATCCCTTTGGCATTCACACCAAACCTTTGATGCTTAGAAGCATCTCTCCATCCAGAATCTCATGATGCATTTAGCATATGGACAAAGTATTTACTCTGCTACTGCAATCGCAATTCAAGACACACACACACAGAGATTTTGTGTGTGTGTGTGTGTGTGTGTGTGTGTGTGAGAGAGAGAGAGAGAAAGAGAGAGAGAGAGAGAGAGAGAGAGAGAGAGAGAGAGAGAGAGAGA